GTGTCTTTTGGTCGTTGGTTGGGGTCTCTACAGCCTTATCACTGGGGAGAGTGATTCAGGGAAACTCCTTGGGGCTTTCATAACTGATGGTGAGCTGGGCTGGGTGAAGGGCTGGTCAGCCTGGCCTTCAGAAAGCCAAAAATAGCTGCCTGCCTCACATTCAGGCACACGTGGTTTCAAGGTGTGAGCATCGAAGACCCTTCGTCTTTCTGCAGAGCATGATGTTGTCCGTTGTTGTATCTGGACTTATGGTGTGCCACAGTGCACCTTTGCACTCCAGCCGCTATCCTCAAGGCATCATGCAGCCATTCATTGGCATCACAACCAGCCATCCTCGGCCACGTGCCCGTCTTTCCTCTCTAGGGGAGGGAACAGCCTTATGAGCACCCAGCCTACAGCCAGAAGCAGATGTGGAAGATGGTGGGATTCACAGCTGGATGTGCAAACCTCAAAGTACTCTGGGGTCATGGTCATGATTGCAGTCTCTGTTTCACCCTCCGGAAAAGAGCAGTGGTCCAAGTTCAGGAGGGTGACCCCTTTGTCCTGACCTAATGGCAGAATGGTGGGTCAGTATCTCCTGACGCTGTTGTGTTTCCAACAAGAGCATTAAATCCTTGCAGAGAGGTAATTCCCAGCTTTCCGGTAAGGATAACATTGACTGTACCTAATTAAAGGGCACTCTGAGCTGGGGTAAACATTTATATTAATTTCCTTCTCACACAGATGTCTGGTAAACTGACCTCCTGAGGCAAAACCATCTGGCCTCAGGTGGGAGGAGGATCTCGGCCAGCATGGAGAACCTGACCAGTCTCTTGCTGAATCATTTCTCAATAGCTTTTTCTGTCACTGAAGTGGCATATGTGTGAAAGGCCTGTGGTAAGAATAGATAGGTTTTATGGGCATTTGTCTTGGATGACCTGCATAATTACACTGCAGGCTTGTGGCTGCGGGCACTGTTGTATCTCTGCTTTCCATCGTGTATTCTGGGACCATCCGCGTACAAAATTAGTATGGGTGGTAAGCAGCAATAAGATGTTCCCTACTTGGATGGATTAAATTAAAATTCAGTAAGAAGCAGAGCTTTGGGTGAGTTTCCAAATTACTTGCAGGATTGCACTGAGATTGTTATGGTATCATAAACCTTTTCGGTGGGTGAACAGCCTGATTCAAGTGAGGAGGTTTTATTACCTCGCAGTGCTCTTTCTACTTTATGTACTGTGCTGTGTAATCTTTTGTTATTAAGTAATAAGCAAAATAAAAACAGTTGTTTGTCACAGCCAGCCTGTTTTCCAGAGAATTTGCTCACTTTGGAAGTTGAGTCTGTGTGATCTCCATCCCTGTCAGGAGCTATTATATTGAATCTTCTTTTAAATTGTTAAGCTGGAGGACAAACCTAGATGTTATCGTGCACATCTCAACTGCGAGTGGAGTGGGTTCGTCAAGGAGCGGCTTCTGATGCCATGTACTGTGCCAGTAGTTTTTGTTGCGAACATGTAAAGATTATCTGCTTCCAGTGTTACGTGTGTTGGCTGACATGAGCATTTGTAGATCTGCATAATTTTTGAAGTAGTTTGAAATGTGGATATAACACTTGGGGCTGTGTGAAATCTTTTTTTTTCCCCCTTTTGCGGATCACATTGCTGTTCAGAAAGTTGCTTGTTTTGTTACTCCCTCCCACAACGTACTGTATTAATTTGCAAAGTTCATAATGAAAGTGCCCCAAACTAGAAATCATCATAAATAGTGAACTACTGAAACACTTGGGAAGACCAGCTGCAACATTACATTTTCGGTAGAGACTGTTGGTGCTTTAGCATATGTGGCCTCGTATCATAATGCAGGATATTATGGTTCTTTATGGAACTTGGCAACCCTGAATTCAAACTGGACTGTGATGGACAGGATTTTTCATTTATAGTGTGTACGTGCATGTGTGTACCTTGGTAGCCTTTTACAAGTGAGGTTGAGTCATGCACGTTAAAAGTTGGATGAGGTACTTCAGTTACTTGTTTTTTCAATGTGCTTTTTTGATCAGTGGTACTCAGACCTATCCCAGCCTCGAAAGCAGTCATGCTTTTCCATGAAGACACTTTTTTCTGCCCTCTGTGTTGCAGCCAGACAGCAGAAGGAGCCTCTATCTGTAGCCATGGCAGCCAGTAATTTATTGCTCCATATGGCTGGTGTGGCAGCAGCTGCTCTGGTTTAAGGAGGTCAGGGCATCGGGGCATTTAAGAAACAAAACAAAACCCAACTATAAACCCTTCCTAAATGGTTTTATACAGTAATGGTAGGGTTCTTCATAGGCATAAGGACAGCCAAGGGAGAGAAGTGAACTTCTTTTTTTATGTATTTCTAATTTTTATAACTTTTATAGAATTTTAATTAGAGGCATTATTTCAGGGGAGAATTAAGTTTTTATCTCTCTTTGCGGTGGTTTTACCTTTTTTTCAGTTTTGATCGCTAGTGTTTGTAGGTAGCAGATAGTACCGAGGTGCAGTGAGTGGGGCTGTGCAGCCCACATGGCCAGTGACCCCTTCAGATCAGCACTGCCACAGGTGCCCAACAGCCAGAGCAGGAGCAGAATCCAACCCACTGCTTTTGGAGGCATTTGGTATTACGCTGAGAGAGAAGCTGTGTTACCAAAATCGAATGGCAGCACTGTATTTCTAGTAATGAAGTGAAGATGTATGCTTTGTGAGCAATTGTCATGGAACAGAAATACAGCTTTAATTTTGGTTTGGGTGTGAGAGTCACTCACTGCTGAAAAGATGGTATAGAAGAGCTCCTGGATTTAGCACTAAAGTTTGCAAATAGGCTTTTCATAAGCATGAATCTTTTTATTTTCATTAGGAGACCATTTTAATTAAAATGAAACTGGAATGTTTACTCTGCTTCCTATAGCTGTGATTGTTTTCTTCCCTGTGTGAGCACGTGTATAATTTGCTCTAAAAGAAATGTCAGCAGTTTCTGATTACCTTGTGAGACTTACTCAACAGCTTGATTTTAATTGGGGGGAGGAAAGATTTCAGGGTGCTCCAGGGAGGTCTGATGTCTTTTGGTAGCAGGAGGAAATAGGTGCTATCTTTGGTACGATGTTAATTGCAATAATCACTACTACTGGTTTAAAATAAAAGTCCTTCATTTCTTACCCCTGTTGGGTTTTTTTTCAGTCACGTCAATGAAGTACAACCTGTTTGATAATTAGCATCCTCCAGCTACATAACCTTTTGACATTGCTACATCTGTGTGTTTCTGTGCGTCTAAACTGGGTGACTTTTGGAAAACAGTGGTTGACAGTAGGTGGGTAGTCTCAACATTTAGGAAATAAGGAAGAAATTTTTTACGATGAGGTTGGTGAAACACAGGAACAGGTTGCTCAGAGAGGTGGTAGGTGCCCCGTCCCTGGAAACATTCAAGGTCAGGTTGGATGGGGCTCTCCGCAGCCTGATCTTGTTGAAGATATCCCTGCCCGTGGCAGGGGGGGTGGACTAGATGAACTTTAAAAGGCCCTTCCAATCCAAACCATTCTAGGCTTCTATAATTCTGTGAAAATTCTACAGTTCAGGTTAGATAAAGGAAAGAGAAGACCAGGAACATAGGGAGGAGTGCCTTCTTGCCTTCAAATACGGTCTCTCTAAGCCCAGAAGTCCACCAGGATTTGTAAGTATTAGATAGTTTATGTGAGTCAAGAGTATCTCTTCCCTGAAATTTTTTGTAATTAAGAAAAATAACAAGAAGTATCTGTAGCAGAATAACATGCTCTGGACCCTTCAGTGGTACAGCTCCTGAAGTATTCCTCTGGCTTCTTTTTGTTTGGATCTGTAAGGAGGCATCTTGGACTACTTTAGCTGCTGAAATGCCTTTCAGATCTTGCAAAGCATTTCAGAGATGACCAGTATCTGAACCTTTTTGGGGCTTAGCCAATATCTTGTATTTTTAGATTGGCTTCTCCATCAGAGATAGTGATCTGAGTCTCCTCTGCTCATTCTCTGGGGTTTTACTTCCTCCTGCTGATTATTTGGGAAAAAAAAAAAAAGTAGGAAAACAACCAGTATCTGAGTTTTAATAGGGAGGAATGAATAATAGAAAATGAGAGGAAAGATACTGCTTATCATAAAAGTCTCTATCTCTGGAGACATAAATTGGTATTCATTAAGTTGTTTGCCTAGACTTAGTTAAAAGATGTACTTGGGGAGCTGCGTAGTGTTTCAGTAGAAAGCAAGTCGTTCTCTTCGTGACTAGATACATCTAGATGAGGAGGAGAGACCAGAAAGCAACAGTAAATGATGGATTGAGAACAGTCTTCATGGCAGCAAGGAGACAACAGGCTCTGAAACATTTTTCAGAAAGAACAATATTTAACACTTAGCTGTAAAGTAATACTGATCCATCTTTTCTCCCCAAATATGCAGGTCTTTTTCATATCTGATGCAGAATTTTTTAAAATGTTTATGTCATTCAAGGTATGCAGGGTCCCCTTGGTTTTGATTATGATTTCTGTAGCTGGAGGTTAGAATTTTGCCTGTGATGATTATGATATACTGTGTATAATCTTACTGGTATCCTGTATATATCATCAAATACAGGGAAGCAGTTGCAGAGTGGTGCTGGGTAATTCAGAGTGTGGCTCAGCTTTGCCATGTCTGCATTCTTCCAAAAGATCAGTTGTCTTTTCACTCTGGTAATGTGTGACAAAACCATCTGTGTCAAAGACCTTCAGGATGGGCTGGGGCTGCCGTTTGAGATGAGGTTTTGCTACTGTACTTGTTGACTGGCATCTTTTTTTATCCTGAACTGGGGCAGACACTTGCAAGGGAATGTATTAATTATTGTGGAGTCTGTGGCTCTCCGCTCTTTATCTGATAACTTTAAAAAAGTAATTGCACAACATAACACTAGCAAAATGCTTTCACTGTTTGGAGAGTGAATGCTCTGTGTCAAAATTTTGTGTGTGTTGTAACTTTTCTGATGTTTACCATCTCTTCTTTCCTTCTTTGCAGATTAAGACCCCTGATTTCAACACAGCCTGCTAAAAAGGCTGCCACTGAAGAGGTATGTAAAGTCCAGCACTTCTCCTCGTGCAACAGCTTGAGTTTGGAAATTCCCACAAGCCTTGCTCAGCCTGGCTCTGGTTATGTGGTAGATAAGGGTGAAAGAAATGAGAGTCTTGTCTCTCTGATCAGTCCAGGAGCTGGTTACTGCAAACCCCGCAAAGCTGAGGTTGCCTAACCAAGATTTGCCCTTACTTATCCATCAGTAACATTAGCACAGCCTCATAATGCCTGCTTAGACAGCAAACAAGAGAAAACTGTCTGCAAGCATCTAAAAAGGTACCTATCAAGCAAGTGGGTAGGAGAGTAGGAGAGGACAGAGCTCGTGCCTGTTTCTCAGCACTTGGAGTGGCCCCACGGAGAAGGGGGACGATGCAAAATGCCACTTCTGTGCAGCCAGTGCTGACCCAAGGGAAGGGCTGGGCTCTGCGGGAGACTGGTGAGGAAACACAAAGTGACAGATTACCCTGTATAGCATGGCTTTCTCTGGTTTGTTTGTTTGTTTCGTTTGAAAATACAATAGTGCCATAGAAAAGTTAGTGCTAGTAACTGGCCACCGCCAGAAACCCTGCTTGAGTGGCTTTGTGCACCTGCATTTTCTGCCAAAGGGATCATGAATATTATCAGAGTTGCAGCAATAACTGCTTTCTTTCGCTGTTACTTTCACACTGTGCAGAGTAGACATATGTATTTTGTGTATGGTAAAATAACTGCCTACTGCTTCTCTAAAAATTCTGTTCCTAATATACCAAAGGTATTTGTCCTTCTTTTTCCCATGAATGTATGACACTGTCACCCTTTGGAAAGTGAACCAGTTACCCTGGGTAGTTTAACATGCTTTGACTCTTGCCCATCCATACATGAAGATACGTGCCAGACTCAAGTCCAGGATGTCTGGAAGTGAATTCAGGAAGTTCTATTTAAAGGCGTTGTTTAACTGCCTTATTTTTAAGATTACTAAACCCCATTGATTTTCAGAAACAGTTTGATATCCTGCCTGGGGAAATACATTTTCACTTCTTATGCTATACTCATTAGAAGACTCCACACATTTTTAGAAGTATAGCAGTCTGGAAGTGGACATGATAATTAGAAGAAGGTCACATTTTAATTAGCATGGTGCAATTTTAAAAAATAATGACTCAGTTGTAGCTCCTTTATATTCACCCACTTTTTCAGAGCAGATGGATAGTTTTAAGAATATAAATTGATATATATATTATGATGCTGATTTGTCTCAAACTGTTGTGTCTATTTCTGCCTATACTGAAAATATAGATGGACTCGATTTGATCACTCTAAAGGCAAAAGCAGTGGTAGGAAATATAAAGTAAACTGGAGAGAAGTTCTTCTAAATAATATGATTAATTTAGGCATTAAAAAAATTGTGAAAACCTGTCTTTGAGTCATCCGAATATCTAAATACTTGATTTTCTATTAAAATTAATGGGTGTCTTTTGCCCTATTAATGAGCTATTGGAGCAAACCCTTAGGTGATGTTGAAAAACTCAGGCAGATTCTTTAGGTTGACTGACACAGTATATGACAAGTTCAGGAACAGCTTTGATGTTTGAATAATTAGACTATCAACTTTCTGGTACAGGGATTTTCTCTTATGGTATATCTCTAAAGTGCCTGGAGTTACAGGGATTCTGGGAGTTGCTGCATCCCAAGTAAATACATTTATGAATAAATAAATAAATAAAAATTACAACTCCAGATCAGAACTTAATGCAAATGGACTTGGAGAAGATGCAACAGTACAGTTGCATACTGTAACTTAAAACCTAAAGCACTGTAGGACTTTTCTTGTGGTATAGACCAGAGGAGTTGGGCTCTCCTGGTCTGCTTTGACCATTCATTGTTAGGAGCACCTCACCACTGTCCTTGCCAAGGAAGTGGTCCCAGCCTTTTCCATCTTTCCTAGGAGGGGAGATGGCTCTCAGTGCTGGTAACTGCTGACTGGTGACATGCACTGTTAAGTATTCCCTTCTCAAAATTGCTTACATGGCAAAGCAGCATGAATGGTTAATCTTTAATGTTCTTCAGGTTGTCGCTAATGGGATGTATTTTTGGGACACCAGCTCTGGTGCACAAACTCCACATAGTCCAAGTTCAGAATGGAGGTGAAAAGTGCCCTCTTACAAAGGTGGTGGAGATAAATCTCCTGTGGTGTTTCTTCCCTGGATGAGAGAGGGAGGTGGAGCCCTAGACTGAGCACACCATGGAAATGAGAGCTCCAGAGAGACCAGAGCCTGGCCTGTGCTGGGGCAGACCATGTTGCTGGTTCCTGCCCTATTCACAGATCTGTCATTAGTGAACTGAAGACAGTATTGCCTTCTCCAAATTCACCTCAGTCTCCTTGCAGCGTTGCCCTTTATCTCTCTCCCTGCTGTGTCCTGCCTAACCTTGGAGCAGCTGGGGACGCGCATGTACAGAATGGGTCCTGTCAGTGATCAATTCCTAAGTTACTGTTTGGAGATCATTATTCTGATGAATTTCATAGGCAATGTTACAGGTGCTGGCGTGTATTATTAACCTAGTGCTCTGCCATCACATTAAGTGCTGTCTAAAGAGTGCTATTTGTTCCACAGCTCATTGTGCCTCCAAATAAATCCAACCAGAGCTGTCAAAACTAATACATGTTGGGTTTTTTCTGATTTGAAGTGTACATTTTTGCTATCATTGAAGTGTCAATAATATTGTTATTGTGTAATAGGCCTGATGTGAGTCGAACACAATAAGGAAAAGGTTTTAAGTTTTCCTGCAGAGCTTTGCTGAGGAGCCTTCGCTCCCAGATTTCTCCTTACCTTGTGCTGGAAAGAGGAATCCTGTTCTGCTGTTGCCATCTCTGGATATTTCATGAATTACATGAAAACTGTGGATGTTTGTGCCCGACTCATTCAGGCAACATTTCACTTAGCAGCTTTCATGTGCCCTGAAAGAGCTAAGCCTCTAGCACTGGATGTGGGCTTCCCTATGTGAAAGCTGCTAATGTTTTGTGCAAATATTGAACAAAAGGAAGGGCTGCTCTACTGTCCCCTCTTGTATTTTGCAGGTGACCTTTCCAAATGCACAAGCAGAAGCACCTGACTTAGAAAAACCAGCAGCTGTGCTAGTGGAGAGTGGCCCAGTAGCTTATAACCCTGACGAAGAGGTGGAAGAAGAAGAAATGGAAGAAGATGATGATCACTGCATGAGCGCCTTGCAGTTAATGGGAGGAAATGGTAAGCTGGAGTACTCTCTAAATTACCATCTGCTGGTGCTGTGGGGTTTGTTGTTTCAGGGCTGAGGACAGACAGGATTCCCCTGCTTGTCCCTGTCCTCCGGCAGCTCGTCCCATGCAGAGCTCCTGCCGCCTTTCCGGCATTGCCCATTCCTGTGGGAAAGCCTGGAGTCACCCTTGTCTGAAACCTGACCTTCTTAGAGACTCCTCCTGAGAAAACTGCATCTCAGGCTTTAGGCTAAGAGGGCTTCTCGAGAACGGACTGATGTTACGCCTTCTTCAGAATTAGGTTTATTAATGTGGAACTGAGGAATTACGGGGTCAGTAACCCCTCTGTCAGCAGTGCTTGGGGCTCGTTGCCTCCTGAGCCGAGCTGCCGTGCTCCTGCCTGCCTCCTCAGCTGGGGCTGCAGTGACGTCCAGGTTGTCCATGAGCCTGGGGACGTGGCTGTCCAGCTCAAAATGAATCATCATACTCCGTTTCTGGGGAAAGGGTTAGGAGGAGAGAGTTCTTCAAGTACAGAAATTGCATTGATAGTGTATGGCGTGCTGTAGGGTGCACAGATGTGTGCTAATTTCTTTGGGTTACCCAGCAAAGCCACTGATTTAATGAGGTTTCTTTGCTGGCAGGAAAAGGCAGCATTTTCTCTGCTGTGGTTTTTCCTAGCTGGACACATCCACATTTATCCTTTATTAAAAACTTCCCTTCCCCTTAGAAGTAAAGCTTTGAAAATATACAAAAATATTTTTAAATGAGAGCTGCTAATTATGGGTTGTGAAAAAGCAAGATGGGAATAAGTTTCCTACTGAAATGTTATTTACTGCAAAAATCTTTCCAGTACTATTAGTTTAGCTTTCATGGACAATATGTATACATTTCACAAAAGTGTCTGTTGCTTTCAAATTGATTTCTCCACTGGAAAATAATTGCTGAACTGTAGGAAAAACAGTTTGTTGCCTGCATCTATTATTAGAATAATGTTCCCAAGAAAAGGCACCCATGTGGGGGAGGGTGGGTCTATGTTTGTTAATAACCCCCCCACGAAAATAGAATAAAGGTCACTGAGCCTTTTTCCTTTGTAAATGTTACTATTTTTAAACCATTCTGAGAACATTCCACTACTCCCTGTCTGGTCTGGATAACAGCTGAAAAATCAGACTTTAAAAAAAAAAAATAAAAAGGAAAGGAGTATTCCCAGAACTCAAACACAGGTGTGCAGAGCTGCTCAGCAGAACAAATAACTGCTTTCTGACTGCTTTCTTCGTGGGTTTTAGACCTGTTTACCTGGAATAACTGCAGGAATTACAGATGGTGAACTTTACCCATTCCACGCAAATTATTATAGATTACACTTAATTCTGCTTCTGAGCATTTGCTTGACTCTTTGGATGAAATGTTGCACTATACTGAACTTGGAATACAAAGGTTAACTTTACTGAATGCTCATATGTAATAGTTACCCGTAGGTTTGACTACGCAACAGAAAATACCTGTTTCACTGCCTTCAGAAGCACAGAGAAGAGAAATGGGTGCATTAGAAACATGCAGACTTGCCTTCTGACACAGTCATCACACATCACAGTCTTTGCACTCGGCATTGTTTAAGAAAATAAAATTGGATAAAAAAATATGGGCAGACTTTTATGTTGTTCCTCTAGGAGTGAGCAGATACAGGAGATCTGAGTCAGATGCGTTGGTCAGGATTTGTTGCATGACTGCTTTGATGCTGATGGGAACTCTGAGCTATCTCTGAACCCTTGCAGTTTCAGCTTATAAATCCATGAATAATATAAACAAGCCAGCTTTTTTTTTGGTGGCTATGTCTAGTGAGAACCCTGCCTGCTTGTAAATGTATGCTGCTGCTTATCAGCCACCATGTTCCAAATTACATGTGACAATCAGGCTTGATCACCTTAACCTCTAAATTAAACCAAGTATTTCATATATCCGTGTGCCAAATATTCCTAAATGAAGGTCCAATGACAATTGAGAAGAGATATTTACACATACATGCTTACAAATAATTTTATTTCATTGAGGAAAGTACATGCAAGAACATTTTATTTAGCTCTGAGGAAATATATGATTTTTTAAAATGCTTGCTTAAGGCAAAACTTACCATCTAAGTTACACAGCAGGAAAACAACCTGAAAGCAGCAATACTTCTGTTGTATCTTCCATCTACCTGGAATATTTGCGTTTTTATATGCTTTTGTCTTTGTGTGTTTCAGATTATGGCTGTGATATGGATGATGATGATGGCTATTAGTTCCATTTACTTCCAAAGGACATGGACTCTATCTTGCTTCCAGCAAATCTTCAGTCTTCAAACTGTATGAATAGTGAAAGAAGCTGTCTATGGTCAGCAAATGTGATCGAACAATCCTTACTTTTGTAAAGCGAATTTTAGGTTGGCATTGACTCTGGTCAGTTTACATTGACCCGTAACCCAGCAATAATGTTTGGGTTTGTACTTGAACTTTTTTTTTTTTTTTTGGTGGATCGTAGTTTGAGGATTAAATTAATGGGTGTAATGTTTCCAGAGAACAAAAGACAAGAGACAAAACAGACTGTGTATAAAGCATGTGTGGCTGAAAGCAACACATCTCTTATTTATGTGACTCCGCTTTTAGGCATGCTGTTGAAAGGGAGCAGATTGAAGGACAGATAGGAGGACAGGTAAAAACGAGAAGCGTGCCTGTTGATTATTTGGGTACAGTAGCATTAGTTGTCTCATAATGCTACAACTGAAAGAAAGAAAACATTTCCAACCTGTGCTGTGGACGTGACCCTGTTACTGTATACAAGCTTCCTTACCTGAGGCTATCAAAAATTAATGACAAATTATATTATTTGCAGGGCAGCATTGGTTTCTCTCAAAAGAAGTAAATACTTCTTTATATTAATCAATTCATAGATTTCTTAAAAGATATGACAACAGAAGGAAATGTTGGCAGCGAAGAATCATCCTCCACTGTGAGTCTGGTGCGGTTTATGTGGAAGGAGGGAGAAGACCGGGGTGAGGCAAGAAGTGGAGAGAGCAAGCAGGCAGCGTTGCTGCGCTCATGGGCCTTTGCTGGGCGTCCCTAGGGACAGCCAGATCTTGTTGCAGCCAGTATTGCTGCAGGAGAGTCACTCTGGCCATCTCCATGGAGCTGCTCTTGTCCAACTGAGAGTGAAGGTCTGCTCCCGAGAGCTGCTTGTCTCTAAAACCAGTTGAAAGAAAGAGAAAGCTGAGCTTTTTAATAAAGAAGCTAGCATCTGCTTTGGCTGAATTTAATTTAATGTAATTTATTTAGCTTTCTATGGCTAGATTAAAGGTCACTGTGCAGCAGTCTGACTTTCATGGCTCAAATCCCACCCTTGAACAGTTGCTGCTACATGAATAATGCTGGAGCTCCAGCCCTGTGTGCCCCGAAATGTCAACAGGCGGGTGCTTCCCTTCCGGATACATCAGCTCTCACAATTCTGTGAGAGCGGGGGGTGAGGGGTGGGGCCCCTATTGCCAGATCCCACCCTGTTACCTCTGACCTACCTTTCCCTGGCACTGCTGGGTCTGAGGCTTTTGGCTCAGTGGGAAGCACACAGCACTCTGGGTCACGTTCTTGGTCACTGCAGCTGCAGGAGCCAAGATGTTTTCATCTCTCTCCCTTGTCTAGTGACAATCATGACAACTGTAGCGCTGCAGGCTTCTCCTACACCAGGCAAAGATGGATATTTATCTTACCAACATGGTTTCTGTTAAGCCGTGTCTCCTGGTCAGCTCGTCCTTCCTACCCTTTTTGAGGAGCGCTTGTCACTAAAGCACCATCCATCCTCCCACTGCGGAGGGTGGATCATGGCAGGAAAATAAGCTGCCTTAGGAAACTCTAGCTACTGCCAGCCAGAGTGACGATGATGCTCGTACCTGTGGTCATCACCAAAGAGGGGAAGGGCCATGTGGCCTTCCATACTTCTGTCCCCCTCAGTAGCATGCATAAGAGGAATCATGTAAGTAGAGCAAGAGCGAGTGTTTTTTTTAGGAGCAGACTTGATATTATTTGGCTGGTAGACGTAGTTTGTTGGGTAGATATTTTTGAGCCCTGTATGGGAATATTTCTGCAATTACTTCTTAAAAGCAGAACTTGGTAACAAAAATGATGTAGTGAGGCTAATGGGAAGAAGAGCTCTTCTGAACCAGATTCCAGTTACTTAGTTTGCAGCACTTCAGTGGAAAGAAGAGATTCCATATAATTCTTAGGGGAAAAGCTGGCATTTTCACAAAAATCTGTATATTTTTTTCTGATACTTTATAAATACTGCACAGAAAATGATATTGAGGGGATAAACATTTCTACCTCTCTTTTATCTACACCGTACATGAAAAATCACGCTATGAGCAGACAATTTTTTGAAAAGCAGATTGTTGTTCATGCACTACAAGTCCTTGAGACAGTTGAGTTTGAGCATTTGGGTTTGAATTAATCTGCCAACAATGCTATTACAAATACCCATACACTCAGTATATTCTCAAAGCTTCGGTTTTATTCCAAGGTACACATTATTCTCTATGCAGGAAATAAACATGCATAAACATGCGTATGACTCATGTAGGTCGAGTGCTTTTCTCAAATGCAAGATGTTGACTCTTAAAAGAAACCGCTAAGATGAATTCTTTATTGCCAAGGGTCTTTCCTTCAGTCTTCTGTGTAGATTTTCATTGGTTTGTTCCCCCAAAGGATACTAAACCTGCTGCCAATGTAGTGATGTTATGTGCGGGAGCTGAGAGTCCACCCAAGTAACTGCTGATAGTAAATTTGAATTTCAGTGCACATTGCGTTTCTGAGAACATTGTTTCCTGCACTGGAAGTAGAGGATTGCAGCTTTTGAATGCTCTTGTATGATTTGGTTAGGAAAGGCTATCGCATAGTCTGCTAGAAAGGCACTTGGAGAGCAGAAAAAAAAAAAAACAACCCTACAATTCCATAACATCTCAGTATTGCTGGTGAAGTTAGCAAACAGCATGGCTTCTGTACAGGAGTCCTAAAGGAAAGGTTGTGGTATCAGATAGGCAGACTTCGCTGTGAGCATTGTAAGGCTTCTTAAGCTATAGTGGTTATGTACACTTTTAATTTATTGGTGACTTAGCGGGATTTTTATAATGTTCATTCCTTCTTGATTTAACTAAGCTCAGGAAATGTAAACAGATTAGAACATGATAGTTTCTGTTTTTATAGCTAATCATTAAAATGTAAAAAACACTGCGTTAACTCTGTTTACTACTGTTGATGTATCTGGACAATTTTGTTGTATGTAAGTGAGCCTAAATTCACTTGGAGTAATTTGGACCCTGCTTTTCTCAGGATTCTGATTATAATGAAGAGAGCTTACAAGGCTTCAAGATTTGTTGTTCTTAGATCTTCTTATTTGAACCCACACAAGCAGTGTATCGTCTGTTTTGTTGCACAAAGCATGTCTCTTGCTGCAAGTCACTTTGTTTGACAGGCAAAACCCTCCAGCTGTTGCATCCAGCTTGTCTGCCATGCAGCCTTTTAACACTCTTGTATTGTGGGAGTAAAAAATGAAAGAAATTAGGAAAATAATGGGATTCTTCACTGTGGTGAGTGTGTTTTCAGTGTCTTAATCATCTATGACATTTCTTTAAAATGACTGTGTTCAGTACAGCAACTTTTAGATGGTGCCAGACAGCCTTGTCTTGAGGGTTAAACATGTCCGTCAAAGAAGTTCTTGCCATCCTGATGACTTGTTTGTATTCCTTGGATTGCAATGAAACTCCAGTCGCAGATGTGTGCAGTTGATGTAGAGTTTGCCTAATAAGTGGTCTGTTTCTTATTTTTGTGTTGAATACTTGCATTTGGTTCAGTTAGTGCCAAGGAAATTAAACCTGTTTGATGTAAGCACATGTATCATCCTTACACAACCACAATATGAGCCACGTTAAGCTTTTTTACTGTAATATATTTGCTGTAAATAAAAAGTAAACCCCTTGCATAACCCATCTTTTATCATGCTGTCCTACTAATTTCTGATTCTTCTTTATGAACGTTCGCTTTTGATTACTATGTGATTGGTTGATAGTGGCCAAATTCGTAATTCAGAGCTTTATTTCGTCTCTAAAAGGGAAGACACTTCTTATCAGTCAAGTGTTTTTGGAACAAGATACTGTTCCACCAATAAATGTAGATACTTCTCTAAACTGGATAACATTAATGAGGTTTTTCGACTAAGCTATATAATTAAGTGACTGTGGGAAAAATATCTAGTGTGTGTGTTTAGTGGAACTGTTCCAGTGCTTGTTTCTGAAGTTGTATCTTGATAAATAAGGTGTGTGCTGAGTTAAAAATCATGTTATTTTATCAGCATCTGGCCGCCACAATTTGGAGGCCAAAGTCCACATCTACTCTCGGTGCCCATAGAGTTTTGTTCCTTTTAGTTTTTTTCTGGAAGTGGAACTACTGCTGGATCCTCAGAAGTGTGTATTGCAAAGTTTTCACAGGTAGCAGGACAATTAAAAGAGGTTTTGATAAGGCAGTAAGTATGTGCCATTCCAGCATTTCACTGGGTTCCCATACTCTCATGTAAGTGCACTTTGCTCTCACTGACATTGGGATGCTTTTATCTTAGTTTCTTTTCATCTGTCCCAACCTTTTCCCTGGCAGGTGATAATTTCTCCAGTGATGTCCATCACTGATGCTCTCTCTACTCATAACATCCAAGCTGTTAAAAAGTACTGGCCACCTTGGCCTCATATTTTCTGCCCTTCCCAAGCTGTACAGTTGTTGGCTTTGTCCTGTAATTTTTCTCTTCCCTACCACAGCAGGCTTCCATAGCCAAAACCATTCTGTACCCCCAACTGTGTTCAAAGACACCTCCTTTAAGGGTCTGAGAAGTTAAATAATGTTAAGAAAGCTGAAATCCTGCAAGGCTTTGTATTAGCTTCATTTGTCACTGGTAGATCATAGCACACTTGTTCTTAGGTTCATGTTTTGTAACACAGAAGAGGCTGTTGTAATTTTCTACTCCCATCGCATGTGTAAGACGACTTAGAGGGTATTATTCAGTATTTCCTATGCCTGCCCCTGGTGAGTGGTGGTTGTTTAGTGAAAGAGGTTAAGCACGCAAGAAGTGAGGCTAGGTGAAAATTCATGACTTACAACAAATTTACTTGGTGAGTTCCTTCATGATTATTCTTCTCTTACGGGACTGTTGTGCATTTTCATGGAAATGAGGGAGGTACATGCATTTCATAAAAATGAAAAATGAAATTCC